GTGGAGTAAGACATGTTAACAGGTAAAAATGTGATACTTGTGTCAGTGGCTCTTTCTCCCATGTCCAGTTGCCAAGTCACCAGCCCTCTCAAATCGTCCTCAGCAAGTTGTAGTGCCAAGCAAAGGGTGGTGCACACACCCTCAGAACAAGGAGTAGGGAAGGAGGAACAAAATCCCCATCCTGCAAGGTTAGCAGTGCCTGTTTTCAGCAGCACAGTCCCTGGACAAGGTGAGGATGCTTTTCACAAACACTCATCTGAAGTGGCTATTTCAGTCAAAAAGCTTTCCTACACTGAGAGAGAGAGGGGGATTTGCAGAGCTGTAGAGACCTTTTGTTGCTGTTGATCCCAGAAGCATCTGATCTCAGTCCCCAGGGGTGGGTCCAGTTCAGCTCAACAGACACTCAGGGATGAATTCAGCTGCCTAAACATGGGCAGCAGACCAGCTGTCACTGAGCATCTGCAACACCTCTGGGGCCTGGAAGACAAAAACCAAACCTGCACAAGGCCTGGGCCCTCTGAAACATGAACCAGATATCAGCCAAATTACCCCTGGACATATCAAACACCACCAGAGCTCCTGCAGGGGCTGCTGAACTAAGCTGAGCTGAGTAACTCTTCAGGTTTTATTCACTGTTAAGACCTCCACTAACTTGTATTAGAGCTTAAATACTCGAATTAGCTGTTGATACTTGGAAATACCCAGATTTGTGTGTCTTAGCCTGCAAGACAGAGACTTTGCAGTGATTCCAGCTCCTGCCTGAGAGCAAGGGAGGAGCCCACAATGGATGGGTCTCAACCCTTCTGCTACACCAGGAGTTGCAGACTCAAATCAGTCAGCTGAGGCTACAAAAGTCAATCCTTTTTGTCCATCAGGCAAACATTTAATCTTGGATTTTCCCATTGCAAAGCGCAATTTGTAGGGAAAGAGCTAATGAGGGCATGCTTCAGCCTGTAGCATGTTTGCATGTATGACAACTTCTTAGCAAGCGGCAAACCCAGACTCATTGCAGTCCGTTTGTTGAATTAATCAAGCTTCAGGATATCCTAATGAGCGAATTGTTTCCTAGAACAAGAATAAAAGCTTCACGCTGTCAAAGCATAAATACATCTAGAGGGCAGCAATGTTATTGTCATTTTTGGCTAAATATAGAACCTGAGCAGAGACAAGTGCACAGTCACACACTGCATCAGCACAGACACTCTTTCCTTTTTTGTTGTTGTTGTCTTTTTTTTTTTTTTTTAATTTTTGTTTCCTTTGAAAATAGTGCATAAGCTTGTCTACAGAACTGCAAACTTGTAAGTGGAGGGCATAATTTTCAGATCCTTGGTCAAAGAGCATTTTGTCTATATTCACCAATCATACTGCAAGGTAACCAGAGAGTGATTTGTCAACATGACTTTATTTCCCAATCAAAGAGGGAGGGGGGAAAAAAAAAAATCACCAAAATAACGAAGTGTCAGGGGTGGGAAATACTCACAGATTGACAGACTTAGTTCTACAAATCCAGCTGAAACTTATCTGAGTCACTCAGCAGTTCCCAAGGGACACACACAGAAACACAGGCACAGAATCACCACGGGAAGTTCTTGCAGTTGGAATGGAAATATTTTACGCACACAGTTTGTTCTAGAGTGGCAAACAGAGGGGATTTTTTTTTTTTTTAGGTACCAGTTCTTTCTCTTAAGTTTTTTGCCTCAAATACTCTTTCATTAAATTTTGCTGGCATATTTCAGGGTTTGATAGCAATCCCCCTCTGAGCACTCAGAGGTTCTGAGCTAGAGAAAACATCAAAGCAGGAGAGGTGAAGAGATGGACACAAAGCCAGGGCAGGTTCACCCACAGCCTTTGATGAGCTGATCTGTGGAGGAAGCTTTTTGTCACATTTTGTCCTGAATTCCACACACTGTGTGCACAGAGACTACAATAAGGTGCCCCATGAGGGTCAAAACTTTGCCATGGATCAGCATCTTGTTCTTCCCTGAGTCTGGAATAAGCTTTTCATCCAGTCTGGTCACTTCCCAGTCTGGAATTGATGGTGTCTACAGTGCAAAAGCTTTCCCTTACAGGGAATGCCACGGGGTTCATTGCCTCCAGCTGCTGAGCTACTTTTAGGAAGTTGGTGGGGACTTGGAATATTTGAGAGACTAATTTCCAAAGCAAAAAAAGAAATCACTGAAATGGATCCAGAATTTCCATACACATTCTAACGAGGAAAAAATACTCAAAGATGTGCAAAACCAATGTAAAAATATGCTGCAGTTCCTAGAAGGTGGCAGCTCACAAACACAGGATGCCTGACAATATAATAACCAGCTGAATTACAACCTGGAGCTGGATAAGCCCTTAGTAGAAAAAAGACATTGCAAGGTGCTTTTTTAAATTTGTCTGATTTTGCTCTCTCAAAAAAAAAAAAAAAAAAAAAAAAAAAAAAAAAAAAAAAAAAAAAAAGCCAGCACAAAACACACCATCATTTCTCCCTCTGCCTCATCAAAATGCAAAACAAAACAAGGCAAAACTGCACTGCATGTCCTAGGCAGAAATCTAATGTTGATCCAAGCCATCTCCTGATCAGACCTTCATTTTGAGCTGTATTATTCACCTCTGAGATTTGCAAGATCCATTTCCCGCTTTTTATCAGTTTTCTGTGCTTATTTTATCCTCAGCACAGGGTGCACAGATGAGATTTTCAGCACAATGAGCCTCATTACAAATGGTCCCCCCCTCGTCACCCACAAAGTAACTTGGTGAAATCCAGCAAGCAGTCAGGGCATGGCAGTATTCGACTTTCCCAAACTCTGGATATGTTCTAATTACACCTTTCAAACCCCCAAAGGGATGGCACCTCTGTATCTGAACCTTAACCTGCTTTTCCAAGCCTTTATCACCAGCTATTCCCAAGATCGTACAAGTTGAGCAAATTTTGGCATCCTTCCCTTTGTTTTCTGAGCTACAGCTTGGAGGAACTACATAAATGAAAGAGTCCAGGATCAGCTGTAAGTGGCTACAGTGGCTTCAGTGTATTTTAGTTCGATTGCACCCCATACTCTACTGCATCTGGGCACCACTCATGCACATACATTTCCTCAGCAGGACTACTCACATTTTGTGTTGGAAGGAGAAAGATGTCCATTTCCCCAGACTATGGCAAAATAATGCTTCAGCATTTCAATAACACATTTGCATCAGCCTTTAATTGAATTAATTGTTTAAGAGTAGAGAATTTAAGGAAACGTACTAGCGCTGCAATATAAGCATTACCCAGCAATGAGAAGGAGGGGAGCAGGGAGGAACTTTAAATCAGGTCATTCATGAACTACTGAAAGCATTAACAGAGTTTATAAAAACAAATTGAGATACTCATGACTTTCTTTTCTTCCATGCATAGGAAAAGCATTTAAATTCTCCTCACTGTGTTTATGATATAAATAAGGAAGCCTCCATAATGCATTTTTTTTTCTTTCCTTATGGAGAAACACAAATCAGGCAAAGGAAACACTGATATTTCCCACCAAAAAAAAAAAAAAAAAAAAAAAAGGTAATGGAAAAATAAAAGGAAGCCACAATTGTTTGAAGTACCTTTTCTCTGGCTGTTCTTTCAGGGTCTGTTCTGATACACTTGCTCTTGTCTGAGCTGCACTTAATCCTCAGAAAATTTATTCTGGTCTCAACTGAGACTTGTAAAGGTAGTGAAATATCTGCTCTTATCAAAGACAGCATCACCCACCCCGTCCATGTTCCCACCTATTTTATTGCAAAGAGCACAGGTCAGAGAATAGAGGGCTTAAGGATGATTTTGCAGTTCCCTGAGTGAACCTCCTTACTCTGCTCAAACTCTCAAGTGGCAGAAGCTGGTCCCTAAGAGCAAATTTGTCAGAGAGCTCTGTTTCACACAGCAAATACACCAAACTTTTGGCTACTTATCTGACCCTTGACACCTGGAGCTGGGCAAAGAATAGATTCACCCTTAACAAATTAAAAAAATCACATCTAAAATGTCAGGGTCATTCTTTTACGGGACTTAGGGAGAATAGCCATCCCACAAAATTAACAGTACCTGCAAATGAGACCATCAACACCCCAGCAACGGTACAGAGAAACACAGAGTGAAATGTCCCTACAGTCAAAAGCACACTGAATAGTCTGAAAAAAAAAAAACGAGTGGCGAGCAAATGGGCACACATAGTCGGAACTGATATGTTTAAAACTCCCGGTGAAAGGTCCAAACAGCACTGACAGGCAAGGGAAAGGAAATGAGTGCCTCGGTCTGACAGCCTGAATTATAAATTTTTAGTGAGTCATCAGGATTGTTTACCTCGAAGAATAAAGCACCAGTTCCAGGAGATTTCTAAGGAGCCCCCGTGCTCCCTTGCTTTGAGTATTATTTGCCTCCTTATTTCCTCTCCTGTTTCCCTTGCAGTGCTGATGCAGCCACTCCAGCCTCACCAGCCAGTGGCTGATGAAGTTACTAAACAGATTCCAGACCTCAGCCTCCTGATTGTTACACACAACTTCCAGCCTGGTTTGTCCCCCCCACCGCGTTCACACAAACAGCGCCAAAAAGGGACAGTCCTCTCAAAATACAGTTCTCAGGTGATAAGCTTAAGTACTTGAGGAGCCAGAGGATCTTTAATTATCCAGATGGCTGAAGCACTGCTACAAACACTGCTACAAATACATCTATACAGCTATACATAGCTACACATGCACAAACACACAGCACAACATACCCTCCTTAGACTGCAGAGCATATTTTTCCCCAGATCTACCTAAATACACTTAAGTAAAGGGGAAACAGTGTCCACAAGTCTGTGCCTCTGAGAAATCTGCATCATTCCAGGCAGGAATTTTGAATAGACAGGCTGGAATGTGGAGGAAATGTTGATTCCCAGACAAACAATTTTTTTCTTTCTTTCTTTTAATGGAAAATATATTTTGGGTCTCCCCAGGCTCCTTCTCAGCACCAGATCTGCGGGAGAAGGAAAGGAGTTTGTACTTACTCGTGGTGTTGTATTTGATCCCGTTGAAGAATTCCGGGCAGGGTCTCTCCACCAGTTCCCCCGCGGAGGTTCTGGGCCAGCAGGTCCCGATCTGATCCGTGGTGGCATTGCAGTAGGGACCTTTGGCGTTAGAGAGGGAGACAGAAAGGGAGAAAGAAGCAGTTGAGGAAAAACACAAAAGCGACACACTTTGCATCACAAAACAAACCGAATCCCGGCACTCCAAAAGCTTTTCCGAGCCCTGCACCAGGTAACATTTTCCTACCATCAAAGCCCAGGAAAGGGATTGAGGAACTCTCTAAAAAAGTCTCTTGCAAGCGATCCAGGAGGCTGCAGTTGACATCAAATTCTTCTAAGATGAACTGAGATATGGTCACATCCATTATTCCCCCCGGGACTGCCGGACTGGATGAGGGTCCTTCCCCCTTTTCTGATTTTTTTTTTTTTTTGGGGGGGGTGTGTGTGTGTCCTCTCCTCTCTTGCTTTCTGGAACTAAATGCACATCAAGCTGCGGACACCCTGCAGTCTCGTGTGCGAGAGAGGCTCTTCCTCGCAGGCGTGCTGACAACTTGGCTCAGAATCTGCGTCTGGCTGAGCAGTTCAACCCTCCGAGCTCTTCCCCGCTTTAAAACAGCGGCTCGGGAACCAATGGGATCAGGCTGAGCCCGGAGTGAGGGGCTCGTGTCTCCTCGCCGGCGTCCCTGGAATCGCAGCTCCCCCGATGCCGCCTCACTTTGCCAGACCGATGTATTGCTGGATCTTCCTCCCTCCCTCCCTCCCTCCCTCTCTCTCTCTCTGCCTCACACACACACACACTGAGGCACAGAGAGACAGTTTTATTGTCAGCTCCGGGGATGAGCACTTTTGCAAAAATACTCGCTCGCAAACCGAAGCCAGGGAGAACAGGAAAAGCCATCAGAGCAACCGAACTCCTCCGGCTTTTTGTGGAGCGCAGCAATTCCTGCCTCCACGGCGTGGAACTGAGGATGAACAGGGATGCCTGGACAGGGAGGGGGAGGAAGGGACACAGTCCAGCAGCTGCAGTACAGGATCCTTGAGAAAGGATCCTGCGGGCCTTGGGAAGAAAGAGAAATAATAAAAAGCTGGGATGAGGGAGATGGTCCGACAGAAGGGAGGCGTCGGAAGAAAGGAATCTGGAGTAATCATAGAATCACAGAAGGTTTGGGTGGGAAGGGACCTTAAAGACCATCTCATTCCAACCCCCTGCCCACACCTTCCACTAGACCAGGTTGCTCCAAGCCCTGTCCAACCTGATCTGGAAAAAAGGAATCGGGAGTAAAAACCCACAGAAGAGGCAGAGTGGGGAGAATAGAGGAGAGCTGGGAACCCAGCCTGGGAGAAGGCACAGGGGCAACACATCTTTGAGCCACTCACACAGATGGGATGGGGTGGACAGTAAGCAGGGCAGGGCATGGAGAGAAGAGGAGAGTTTTGGAGCCATGAATGGATCATTCAGGGGACAAGGAGGAAAAGACAGGCCAGTCTCTCATTTTCCACTGGCAGGAAGGAGTGAGGTTTTCAAAAAGGATGAGCACCCAGACTGGGGAAAAAGGGAAGAGCAAAGGGTTTGACAAACTGGGGTTCATATGGAACAGGATGAGAAGGGTCTGCAGAAGGGGAAAGATGAGAAGAAGTTTGGAGGGAGCTGCCCAGATGGTTGGTCATCTTTTGGGGAATCAAAGCTCACTAAAGTAAGAACTGGGTGAAGTTCTGCACTCTGGGACATGTTGAAGAGAGCATGTCCCTAGCTGAGACCTAACCAGCCCTTCTGACTTGCTACATCAGGATATGAGGAAATTATTAAAAAAAAAAAACAAAAACCAAAACAAAAACAAAAGTGTTCAGATCTTGCTGAGGAGGATCATTTAGGATCACAATTCAGAAGGGAATAGAAAACTGACATGTGAGGGAGTAAAGGAAGGTAAGTTATATGGCAGTAGCAGAGATGAATGTGAAAACAGAAGGCAAGGACAACAAAGAAGCTTTGACAGAAAGAAATGCATCCAGAAATAGGCTGTTTCAGTCTGTGTTCACAGCTTTAGAATGGACATGGTGCTTACACTGAGATCAAAGCAGTGGTACAGCACTTCCTACAACATCTGTCTCCCACTCTGCAATGGCTTGGACTTTCCCTTTATTCATATTTAAGATGGAAGGGCTTTATTCTTTTGAAGGACCAAAAGAATTGTGGTATCCAAAGAGTGGAAAAATAAAAAAATAACTGGGTTAGAACAACAAATAAATTAACAACATGCACTGAGGAGAGAACTAGCCAGGATGTTATTCTGCCATCTGGGAATCTGGAGATTTTTAAAACATTTTCAGATTGCAATGGCAGAGAGGGGAGGAGTGCAAATGTGGGTTTGGGATGAGTATTTTTGTTTTAAACATGTGAAAACCCACAAACATAACAAGTGCACTAACTCTCTAGACAGTGTGATATTCTGAGACAAGGGAATGCATCTGTTTCACTCTCTGGAGCCATGATTTCCTTCCCAAGTGAATGTTCCCAAAACTGCAACCCTTCTTGAGAAATCTCAATTGCAACAAATTAACCCTTCTAAACACCGCCAGATCTCTTTGTCCCACACATCTCCAATCCCCAAAAGCAGGAAAGAAAACTTCTTTAGCATCATTCCTGTAACCTGACCACCACCAACATACTGGTTGTCTTTAAATGGGGCTCTGAGGGGAAAACCCTGTTTTTAGAACTTTCAGGAGCAGAGGATAAAGGGTGCTCTAAACCTTTAAGCAATTCACAGACATCTAATCCCACCAAGTATCCTCAACTCTACACTTTAGCTTTCTTTTCTCCTTCCTGACACTGTGCAGCTGAGTTCAAAAAATTCCTTTTTGTTCCTCAAGCAGAGCCCCTTTGTGATGGATTTGAGATCTTCAGGCATTTGAAGGTGCCCAATGGCATCCCTGAGCCCAGTGGCCATTCCCAGGGAGGCAGAACTGAGCAGTGAGTAAGGCACTGCTCCGGGATGTTGGTAAGATTATTTTTTTTTCTGCTTCTGCTGCCTCTCTGTAGGAGAAAAATCACACAGTCTGGCCAAAAGTCTTCATTTCTCACCTACTGTCTGCTCTGTCTATTTTCACACACAGTTTGTGCTGCACATTGGAATCAAAATCTTGGTTGGAGGCTTTGGGCACTAGAGTTTCCTGAATTTTTGGAGGAATACATCACTTAATAAACTACAAAAAGAAAGGCAGTTTCAAAAAAAAAAAAAAAAAAAGGCAACTACTTTTAAATTTGGTCCATGTTTCAGGTTCCTAAATGCTGCCTTGTATTTTCCAGCACAAACACTTGAGGATTTTTCAAACCGCTAAATTATTACAGAGTTGAACACTGAGCTGGTTTTCATTTCAAATTTGTTCTTTATAGTGGTTAACACCTGAAACAATAGCCCTAAATTAAACTAAATGTTTTTTTCAGGACTAAGAGAATGAATGATTTCTTCATTTGAGTGGGAAGAGCTAGAAAATCTTTGATCTAAACTGATCATTCCCTCCATCTTTTTAGTTCAAACTTTAGAAAATCAGAAGCAATATGTATCATACAGATAATACTACTGGGTTGCACATATTTAATAAACAAACAAACAAAAAAACACTCCAAAAGTAAATAGAGAGGGGATAAACAAATAATCCAGGAGTGTGGATGAAGAAAATTATTTATTGTTCATCATTGCACAAATCAGCAGCATTCTCTAATAATCACTTACCAGTTCTAGTGGAACCTCTTGATGAAAAGCTGCTTTTGCAGCTTTCCCTGCTTACAATTAACCACCCCGTCAAAGTTTCCTGGGTCTAGTCAAATCCTGACCGTGTCAATTTGACTCATGTGACTGTGAGAAATGTTGTTCTTTATACCAGAAGCAAGTACAATTAAGTGAAAGGTTGACAGAAATACCGTGGCTGCTGATCCTCTGCCGATGCAACACCCCTTTGTGGTGCACATCATATAAATCACCACCAGGTCTTGCTGGGCAGTAGCAGCAGAGATCTGCCTTGGAAATCACTGAGCATCCCAAGAACTTTGTGCCTGGCAGGCAGAAGAACTTTGTTAAGTTAAAGGTGGTTTTGTTCCTGTGTGGTGGTATTTGTCTGGATGTGTCTGCAAGACAAATTCACGACCCATCTGCATGAGAACACCTGAACACACAAGGTTCTGGAGGTGAGCAAGACACACAGATAAATATGTCAACACATGCCCAGCTCAGCAGGGCTCTTTTGCAGAAGAGATATTAAAAAGTGACCTCCAGCTCTTCTAGGAAGGCAGTGAGCTCTGCTCATAAATGGCAATGGAAACCTTTTGTATGCCAGCCCTCGCCACTGCTGCACAGCTGGTTTCCTCATCTTCAACCCAATCCAAGCCACAGCTGATAGAATTAGCCAGAGCACAGCTTTCAGTTTGCCCTACTAACAGTGACTAACGAGGATGACGTTGTGCTGTTTAACCAGTAACACCAAAACTCAGCTCTGTGCAGACTCAGGCAGCACCATCATACTTGTCTGGGGAGGGTGGAAGTACCTCCACAACCAGGTGGCTGCTGCCTGCTCGTGTCTTGCCAGAGGCACCTCTCCTCCTCAGACACTCAACTTCCACAAGATCAAGTGACCACTGTATGTTTCAATATCCAGGATGAGTACTGGGGAAAAAAAGAAAAAAAGGGAAAAGGGAAAAAAAAATAAATAAAAAGCCCTAAAACAAACAAAGAAACAAACAAAAAAAAATCAAAAAAAAAAAAAAAAAAAACCACAACAAAACCCCAACAACAATAACAACAAAAAAACCCCAAAACAAACAAACAAACAAAAAAAGCACCAGTTCTCTCCACTAAAGTGACTGTTTCATCACTCCTGTTCTCTGTCCATTGATGTGAAGAGCTCCTGCTTTCCAGGTACAACAGTTCCTCATCTCTTCTGCTCTGGGCAGAAGGCTCAGGGCAAGAAATGCACGTGGTCTGTAGAACAATCTGGTTACACCAAACCCCTTGTGCTACAGCATCGCTGGCTTTCAGGATTTTTATCATATCAATATGGAAGTATCACGTGGAGTTGTGGTCCCAGTGGTGGTTTTTTAGGTCTCTTTC